CGATGGAAACCATTCTGCGACGCCGCCTGTCGAGACAGCGATTTGGTCTTCTCATCAGATTCACGATAGTGATTCTGATGGAAACTAATCGGTCTGCCCGGCTGCCACGCATTCCCCATCCGACAGGGGCTTCGGGCGGGTTGCCTACATGTATCCTTCATGAATTCGAACGATAATCTGAAATGGCTCATGGTGTATCTGCCGCCTTTCCACTTGCATATTCAAGTGACCAAATCTTGGACAGGTCTTTCTAGATTCCTTTGCAAGCCCTGGTCCACATCTCCTTCAACCCGCAGCATCCTCCCCAAGGACTCGCATGTAGCGCTTCCTTGATGAGAAAGAGGTGGGAAAGGAGTGTGTAGAAAGAACCAGAGACACAAAAGAGTCTCCTCGGCTGTACCATTTCGATTTGCTTCTAACTCATTGCTGCTGCTAGTAGCGTATTGCCTGCCAGTCAGACACTGAACAAGTCTTGCCCCTAATTTCGGCTTCGGTAAGGAGAGCCCCTGGTCTGTGTGACAAGGACCTCATTGCAGAGCGAAAAGACAGGATATCTCCCATTGCGAATCGGCTGAGGCAAGTACGTCAGTAATTCTGCACACATGTTAGCCCTGTCGAAACTCCAAGATCTCCCCATCAGACATTTCGATCAATGAGAACCGCGAACCAAGCTGTGAACCCCCAGGCGCAGCCTTATACTCCCATGGACCACAGAGAGACAACAAAAGCCCAGCCCAAGCACTTCCTCCCATAACGCCTTCCAAGTCTACATAACTGGGGTATCTAACGCTCAAAAAGACGCAAGTAGAATAGATAACAGGAGAATGCCACCATGAGGAATACATCGTCGTCATCACCAAGCATATGACATCGATCCACTTGCCGATGAATCATGAGGAATTGTACAGACAACATGCGCTCGACTATACCATGCTATGGGTTTAGTCTTCGCTAGGTGTGTTGGACTCTTTCTCGCGTTGCATAAGATCCCGATCCATGTCTGACTGGGTCTTATACCCACCAAGACTCAATGCTTGCTCATTGGTGATGGAACTGGGAACAGATGGAAGGTCTGGTCGTAGTCGCCTGAGACGTGCCGCACGATCTCGCGCCGCTTGTTGCTTCTTTTGCAGCTTAGTAACCTTCTCCTTCTCCTTCTCCTTCACGTGCGGAGGGGAATGGGGAGGCAAAGGGGGTGGTGGCGGGGCGGTATTAGCCGGGGGTGAGCCTTGAGGTGGGGGTGGGGGTGTGGGAGGCTGATGGAGTTGAGCGAAGCGGGGATCATTGTCGAAGATCTGGCGCAGCTGCCACCTTTGCTCGGTATATTCGTCGTAGTTTGCCGCAATGATGGCTTCCAAAATGCTGGCCTTGGGATCCTCTGACCTGGCATTTGTGATCATTCGCGCCTTGAGCCGTCTGTAAGCTTCAGCGAAAGACCGGAAGATCAAAGCAATCTCTCGTGTGCCGCCAGAAACGTCATTATCGGCATTATTTGGATCTTCGATCGAGAGACGAGGGTTGTTATCTCGGGAGCCGTAGACCTTCTGGAGCCATACCGTCAGCTCTGTTGTTCAGCTAGTTGTAAAGGCACTTACCTTATTGTAGTAACTGGGCGGGTTGAAACGGATGGCAACGTTTTCATAGTCAAAATGCTTGCCGTAGAATTCAAAGAAATCCATGAGCATGCTGCCTAGGTTCGGTGCCGAGTGACCATAAGGCATGTGTTGCAACAAGCTTGTAACAAGACAAGTAATCGAGAATCCACCCAATCCACCAGTAGGCACTTCATTGAGTCCTCGAAGAAGGAGGAACTGCTTGATCACGGACACAAGAACGGGCATTGCGGGGTACTCAGCCTTCCACTGCTTGAAGGTTTCATTGGCAACCAGTCCACTGTCGTTGTCAAAGGACAGATCAACTCTGAGACCCGTAGTCTTGTCCACGAATTTGAGGATGGGCACACGAGCATGAGCGATCGTTTCAATTGAGTTGGGAACAGCTATGTTCTGGTTCTTCAGAAATGCAGCAAACGCATAGATTTGACCTTTCCGCTCGCCAAAAGTCTTAATCCCATGGCGCATAAAGTTCGTTGAAAGTAGGACCAGATCTATATCCGCAGTGGGAAGATAAAGGCCGGACGCAAAGGAACCGAAGGGACGCAGTTGCACACCGTAGTACCTGCTCTGAAATGCAGTCTGCAGTCTAGATACCAAGTCTTCTCGCACGATTTGCTCATAAGACACCGGCTTCACCCAGTGATAAAAGCTTAATATTTCGTTGTGTAATCTGTCGCAGAGTCAGCGGAAGGCAATATCCTACTTAGATTGAAGATCGGCACCCACCTGGTACCCAAGTGTAAGGTAGGCGCCATATGATGTAGCCAGGGCGCACCCGATTGAAGTGGGCGCACCCTCCATTCATCAGTAACCGAGCCATCATTATGGAACCGACTCAGTGGCTTGCCGGTCTTCTTCGAAATGCCCTTCAACTCGTCATCATATGTTCTCTTTCGACTGCCCAGCGCCGAATCTCTTCCGTCAAGCTGACGCTTCGGGCCGGTAGGCGCGTTCTCCGGGGGGTTCCTGTCTTCATCCTCATCACCACCCAGCCCACCAAGTGAGATGAAGTCCTCGTTGGTAGTTACTGCATCCTTCTGTGCGGTCTGGGTCGCGGTCGCAGCAATCCGGGCCTTGCGGATTAATTTGACCACATCCACTCGCTTTGACTGACTATCGTCGGGCGGAGGCAGCGCAGTATAAGGATCAGGGTTGGACCATCGGGGAGTGGGCGCCGCAGGAGGGGCGGTATCTGTGGTACTGTTGGACTCGATCGCGCGTTTCTTGCGTGGATGAGTCGCATCCGCATCGTCATCAGAGGAAACGTCCATATCCGCCTCTTCGCTGTCGCTGAGGTTTTCTATGGAAGCAAACTTCAAGCCAGGTTTACTGTCCGACGATCCCTGTGCTAGCAGCTGCTCTGGTGTAGCTTCTCTTCTGGTTCTCAGTAGCGGACGCTCGGAGGTACCAGGACGCGGGTAACGAAAGGTGAATTCCTGCTTGGGGCGATACGATGACCGTCGATCATTTCCCCGGAACTCATAGGCCGGCGGCATGTTGATGAAAGAAAAAGCCCAATACTCAGGGACGAAACGCGACTGGACCTTGAAGTGAATGAAGGAAAGAGATGGCGCGTGTTCTACCGTGTTCGATCCGTCGGTTTCATTGTGGCTTTTTTTTTCCGTCTCTTTAGGAAGCGGACGGGAGCGCATCGTATCGGCCTATTTCAGGAAGGCGGTAGGTGGGTAGGTGAGCGGACATGTAAGTGAGTGGGAGTAAATTGGGAACCAAACGTCTGCAACTGCTCCAGCCTAGAGGAGGCAAGTGATTTTCACCAAGTGATTACAACTACTTTCTCATTATTTATAGTCTTTAACCTGGCTATCAACCACCTACAGCTTAACCCCCGCTCCAGTAGACTGGCTATCAGTCAATCTTCGGGTCCGCACTGTCTAAGACCTGTCTGTAGCCGGTCGATCAAAGTCTTGTCCAAAGCCATCTCAGCAAAACTAACTCTCGAGGTCGCCCACTCTAGCCATTGGCTTGCTCGCGACCCCTCATCTGCATGAAGCAATCCGACGCTGACATCCATCAACAAGGGTCTTTCATCGCTATGCCAGAAGACCGAGGCTCCACAGCGGCTGCAAAACTCTCGATAAACGCCCGGACTACTTTCAAACTGCTGCATGGTGCCTGCACCGAATTCGATCGGTGCTTTGCGGGCATCGAGAAGATTGGCGTTTGGGATGAACGCCCATGCTTGAATTGGACACCCGCTGGCCAGACGACAGGACGGACAGGCGCAGGTCCCAGCTAGATACCTGGTGTTCGCATTCCGTAGCCACCACTTCACATCGGCAAGGTTTTCCGATGAATTGGCATAGTACGGAACAAGTAGATCCGACCATGGAGAGCTTGCCTCCGTGGAGGAAGCGTCCGGTCGAGTAACGTAGAATTCGATACCTGCGCAGTGACACTGCCCTCGCAGTTCCGTGGAGTCCTGCGGCGAGCGCTCGATATCCGCCTTCGCCTCCGAGCAGCTTCTATCACTATCACTATTGGAGTGAGCACGAAGCCAGCATGTCGCGGCCATGGTTGCAGGCTCCCCCTCGAGGAAAGAAACCAGGCCACCATCGCGCGTTTCAGAAGCCCGCCAATGCCGCACCGATCGAGTCCGAGGCGAGTTCGCATTGTCCACCAGCAACCCGGCTGCCACGAAATATCGTTCCGAGGGCCTCGAATACGCCAGGGCATGGGCGCCGCAGGTTTTACAGAAATACCGAACTATATCCTCGGACTGCTGGTACTCGTGCATGCTGTCCAAGTTCTGTGGCCTTGCTTGTAGGGGATGGTATGCAGAGCACAGCATGCCTGTAGTCGTGCGACAGGCGGTGCAGTGGCAGAGGTTCAGGGTTGAATGATCTGTAGACTGCTCCAGACTGACATCCTGTGCAAGACTCCCGCATAAACACGAGATGGCACACTGCATCATACTTGGATATTCCTAGCTTCGTCGTTGGCTGCAATCTGGAGCATACAAATCCTATTGCACCCAGTCAGACAGACCAATCGAGACAGGAAAGGAAGGATAACAACATGAAAGAGAATAGCGTTATAAGCGCCCCCCGAGGCAGAATTAATACTACCTACTTTTCATGGTTTCAATACTGTACATACACTGCCTGTGGTAAGTTAGTGGTTGGTGGGCAGCGCCGGTTCTCATTTAACCAAAAACAGCCTGACCTGCAGAAATGTGCTCATGTCTCGGGCCCGCTAAGATGATGAGAAGAGGGCCACGGTCGGCGAGTATAGTACAGTACAGTAAAGTTACTATTCGTTGTTGAGGATCTGTTTATATTAGGTAGTAGTGGCCTGCAGTGGCGAGGTATAAATACCGGGCTGAATGACCCCGCCATTAAGTATCTTTTCTCCCGTACCACAGACCACAATAACAACTTCCTCCTTACTCCTCTCCAAATAATCAGATTCAAGGATACTCCTTGTCTATCTCACCCGTTTACTTTAACACCTTTCTACTCTTATCATCATGGGTAGGTGAGCTTATGTGTTTGACTTTCTTGCTTTCTGTTTCATCATATTCGTTGATGGTTGTGTGTGTTTGTGTGATGGTCTTAGTGCCCAGCGGGGTAAATTCAATGGCGGGGTTCATGATTATCCATGACCCATGACTTCCCACTGCCTGCCTTCGGACATCGCGGCTTTTTTATTTTTTTTGTCTCTGCTAGTCATCATGGATGACTTGTCAGCCACGTTTGCTAAATATCGCTCGTCTCTTTACAGGTTCCGACCACGGTTGCAGCTGCGGTGCCTCTTGCCAGTGCCCTGCCGGCCAGTGCAAGTGCCCGGTATGTTCACCTGCATCCCTTTCAGGTTAAATGATGATATACCCGAATCTGGCAGGCTGACATCTTTGAACCCCCTCAAGAAATAAATTAGGTGCGGAGTTGAGCTCTGCGGTGAACAAGTCAAGATGGATCTGGTCCACGGTTCGGAGGGCCTTTCCTAGTTCCATGTACATATTAGATCGATAAGATCTATGGCCATACAAAGATCAAAACCAAATCACAACAGAGGACAATGACCCTACCTACGACTTGACCTGCCTTCAAGTACATAGAGGAATCTAAAGCCGGTAACTCAGCTACGCACGTCAATCATTCGAGTCTTTCGTAGCACGACGGATTCGGCATAACTGCCACAGTCGTGCAACCCGAGCTTCGGGGAAATTTGATTTCTGTGCTTGAAGAAGCCGCCATACTCGGAACACAAATTTTATTGGTCAAATCGCTTCTGATTATTTCTGTAAAGGCTCCGTCTTCTTCATGGTTGCACCAATCCGCCGCACATGCCAAGGCTTATCAAGAAAGTAAAGGAAACAAGAGACATGCGCATTTCAAAACAAAACAGTCTCGTCCCACATCACCCTCCGCCAGTCACCAAATAGCCATGGCCATAGTTCCGATAAGCACGAAAGAAGTTCATCAGAGATTGGAGATCGCACATTCTCCCGCATTGAGCGGGCTATAGGACGATGCGTTTAGTGCTTTGTCCCCCCAGATGTTAGCTTCCGAGAGTACTTCATCAGGCTGGTATGGTTTCCAGTCGCGAGTCATGTAATCCAAGCCATGTGGTGATACGTACAGAGCAGCTGCCACAAGAGCAGGAGTTGCAGCTACCAGCGCAGCTGGTGGCGCAGGAGTTGCAGGTGCAGGGAGACATGATGATAGTTTGGATGTGAGGTAGACTTGCGTTTGTTGAGCTTGTTTGGCGAGAGATGGAAAGAAGGCGATGGTCTTTGGGAGAGAGTAGTGAAATTGTGCAGAATGAATGATCTAGATCAGACAGGTCAAAAGAGGGAGAGGGTTCTTATAACTTTCTCAGTATTGACTATAGGGTGAGCTCTGCGCTTGGATTTCCATCCCACCAACACCGATGCACGGCGTCTGCTGATCCATACGTATATACTTCACTAGAGGCAAGCAAATGGCTTGCTCCCTTTCTTTTCAGCCTTCTGCATGACTTTGGCGAGCATGACTGGAGGATTCCATGCTTGCTGAAACCCACAGTGCGACTCGTATAGATCCCACCGCAAGCAGCTGGGTTCCTTGCCCCTCAGGATGTGAAGCACCCACTGATGAAGCAGATTACTTGAGTGGGCTGATGATACATGCAGGCAATTGTCGCAAACTCTGCGGATTGGCTTATCTTTTTCCATCATCACAAGGCCTGGCAGACGGCTTATCCCAGATATCTCTAATTGCTGACTCTGGGATCATTTCTCTGCTGGGATGCCCCTGAAAAGATTCCTCGATAGCACGCCCAGTTATGAGTGCGGGCCGTAGGAGGTGATCCTTGAAGTCATGATCGGTGCTGCCACGTCGAGGCCGCTGTGGATGGGGCGAGGAGGGGCAGGCTGAGTTGCATAACGAGAGGGTATGGGGAATCAAGTGGGTATCAGCAACCAGCATACGTGCGTGGACCGAGAAGAGTCGTCCTGGCTTCTCGATTGTGGATCCTACAGAGCTATATTCTTGTTTTATGAAGGGGTCTGTGGTTTTGACCGATATCTATTCTATCATTGATCCCTGATTGAGCACTAACTTACTACTGTACGGACTACTCTAATACTTCGTACGTACTGTAGTAGCCGTAGTAAAACCACCCCGCCCTACCCCTCCTGTTGACCAAGAAAAGTGGATGCTTTGCTGAGGCACCCAACTCCAACCCGGTCCACTTGGAAGAACTTAAACTTGCCGGTCACATGTATTCTCTACCTGTAGCAGCTTTGAGTTACTCTGTACGGAGTAGTAGATAGTGCTGGTTTGCTTTAAACCCTAACTTAGGTTACCACTGTACTATACACACCCTCCTAGTATAGATTCCCGGTTCTTTCTCGATGGAACCACCGCCATAGCCGCACCAATCACGACTGAAACCAAGTAAGAACTGGGAGTAACTCAAATTGTCACACTAATTCGCATTCCTTCTACTTAGACATACCTGCCTGGCAGACTGCTGTGGGGGGCCGGGGGAGGGGGTCTCCGGCGTAAGAAGCATCTACTGTAATCAGCTTGGTCATGATATTTCGGCCTTCAAAACACAATACAATTGCCGTATATGCTATTCAAAACATTCTCTACTAAGTATAAACTACTTAACCGCTAACTATATATGACCCCACAAGCATGTCAGTAGAGTACGGCCAGCCTCTCACAGCTCATCTTTGCTCCTCGGGGCAGCATTCCCTTCCTCCTCACCGCCGGGACAAACAGCCGGCGAGGTAACGAGCATCGAGTAGACGCATTTCTCATCTTCGGCCACCTTCAGAATCTCGTTCTCCTCACCACACTCCAAGACGACCGTTGTCGATCGTGCCGGTCCGTTCCAACATGTTTGTCCATTGGTATAATGCAGGGCGACCTTCTCCTCTGGGATTATATCTCCAGACTCGTCGAGCACGTCCACACTAACAGATCCAATGCCAGAGAACTTGCCCATCCGCATCGAGCCACCGCCTTTCTTGGGAATTTGTTTGGTTTGATCTAGGAAGCAGTGCTCGTACGTATATTCACCAAAGTCCTTCGAGATGCATACTCCCTTCAATGCACGGAAGATGGATGCAAGACCATAGTCTGTCTCAAGGTCGGATTTGTGGGTCTCCAACTGTCTTCGCGATTCTTCAAGGCTCTTCTCAGCCGACTTGACAGCATCCCGGGCGTCTGACACGACCTTGGATTCGGACGTCGTGGGTTCGTCCTTCTTGGGCAATATACCGTTCTCCTCAAGGAAACCCCGGACAGAGACCACTTTAGTCTCGATGAACTCAACCAGTGAAGGAGGCAAATAAGCTGCCAGCTGATAGATCAGGGCTACTTACGGTCAATATCAACCAAAACCTAAGGCAAGGCCGCCATCGCAGTGAGTGTACTTACCAGTGTCAGTCTCACAGCCCTCATCTTCGTTCTCCCATCGCTCCCAATTAATTCCAGATTGGGCATCGTCTGGCTTGACCAGTTCGTCCAAATCATTGTCCTGGGCAGCGCTTGTGGCACTCTCAAGGGTTCCCCTGACGGCATAATCTTCCCAACTGCGCACAGCACGCTTGACACCCTCGTCATTGAAGTTAGGATTGTACTCTACCTTGAACTTGGATAGGATTTCCTCGAGCTCCTTCACCCGTGCGCGGGTATCGTCCCTTTCCTTGCGGATGTTCACTAGTGCGTCCCGAAGCTCTTCGACTCGACCCCTGGCCAATTGGGCCAAGACATTGACCTTGCCAGCCTTCTTACCCCTGACTACCTTGCTCTTGTCTTCCTGCTCGGCCTTCTCCAACTGGGCCTGGAGATCTTTGACCTTGATCTCCTGGGCCTGGATTTCCACCTCCAGATTCTTGATCTGGTCCTCAACCTCCTTCTGTTGCCTGCCCGCATCCACAAGCAGGTCGCGCTTCTTCTTGAGGGCGGCCGTCAGGGATTTCTGCCTCTTATCTTCCTTCTTACGCCACTCCTTCCCAATCTCCTTGCACTTGTCCTCACACTTGGTGCCGCCGACCCGTGCCCACTCGTCGCTCCCATCACAGCAAAGTTCGTAGTCGCAGATACCATCGTTGACTCGTTGTGACGGAACGTAGGCTGGCTTGTGGCCTTTGTTTGTGCAGTAGAAACCCGGAAGGGCAGAGACGAGTTTGAGGTCGCTGTTCCCCGGCCGGTCGGCCACTGTCAATGCCGAGTTGCGGGAGAGATGAGCGCAGGCCGACGTGCCGGGTTCATCACTACCATCGGGGCAGTCACAGTAGTCATCGTTTACCGCGGAGAATGGGATTTGAATCGATGGATGGGAGATACAGGTGAATGTTGTGGTGTCCTTGTAGAACTTTGCGACTGTCAAATCCAACCAATTGTGTTAGTTTATTCGGGTGCGTCCGAGGGAGCTTGGTTCATGGAACGTAGTAGATCGGCCAGGGAAATCAAATGAAGATGGCACGGGAAGTGACATCAGAGACTGAGCGGGTGCATCAAGCTCAAGTGATCGCAGAGAACAGCAGCAGAGAAGAGTTACACTCACACTCGGGTCCGACTCCCCGGGGTCGAGACGAGGCATCACCCGCAGCAGCTACCACGGTCGAGCATGCAGCTATGCTCGCAAAGAAAAGCGATCCCTGAGGAAGTATCATGGCGGGCAGCCTTGAGCTTGACTCGTCAACCACTATTGCGACCGGAAGCGGACGTCCAGTCACCGTAGGAAGAGTTCAATAAAACAGAAAATGCGGAGAGAGCTTCTGGCCAGCTGTTGATAACGAGCGTCTCTATCGAGCAATCCGGGGAGACGCCCAGAGCGTCTTAGTCAGCCCCTTATCAATTCAATCGGTCCCGATCTAAAGTGGCGACCGGGCGTCACCCAGCGGGAGCATCTTTCTCCAGCACTTATGGGATCAACTTTTACCATTTTCTGTCCTTTCGGGTGTCAAAAGCAAACAAACAAAAGAAAATGGGTAATGATGGTGGAAGGTAAAGGACTAAATCTTCGGGTTCTGTGGTGTGCAAAGTCACTAATTCCCCGGTCTTCAGTATCCCCACTCGCCGCGAGCTCGTTCGCGAAGCCGCCCGGAATCCCAGCACGGCGCAATTGAAAGAAGCCCAGCGCGAATTGCAGGAACACTTCTGGAACACATGTCCACTGTCGCATAAGCAGTTAATGCGGCCTATCGTCTCCGACTGCGTCGGAAACCTCTTTAATAAAGACTCCGTCCTACGATATCTGTTACCGGGAGATGAAGCCGAGGGTATCAGCTCGAAAGCCGACTGCGATGAGTTTCTCTGTGGCCGGGTGAAGGGTCTCCGTGACGTTGTGGAGCTGAAGTTTGAAGTGGACACCGAGCACGGCGGACATCCATCTGGGAAGCACGAGAAGCGCGAGGGCTGGATCTGTCCAGTCACCGCCAAGCAGTTGGGCCCGAATGTCAAATCCGTCTACCTTGTTCCTTGCGGACATGTCTTCTCCGAAGAAGCGATCCGTCAGCTGAAGGGCGAGAGGTGCTTACAGGTGCTTATGACCCGCTACTGCACCGATGATTGCGTGACGCTAACAGGCGTGCATTTAGTGCGACGAACCTTACACAATCGACAATGTGATAACCATACTCCCGGCGAAAGAGTCGGATAAGCAGCAGCTGATTGAGCGAAGCCAGAAGCTAGCTGAGCAAGGATTGACACATTCTTTGAAGAAGGCGCCTGGTTCGAGAAAGCGCAAGAAGCACGCCAACGGCGATGCTGTCGCTGCTCTCGCCAGTACCGAGTCAGAGGTCAAGCCGGGAAAAGAGTCAAGGCTAGTGTCATCGTCAGCCTTGCGCACGAGGGAAGAATCTGCTACTGCTAGCCGTAGCAACACGTCTACGCCTACTTCAAATGTTCCCAGTGGGATCAAGAATGCAGCTACCGCCATGCTAACTGCTCGTGTACTTGAGGAGGAGAATGAGAAGAAAAAGCGACGCAAGCTGATGGGACATAATGACAACCTGAGCAGTCTCTTCACGAAGGAATCCGATAAAGATGGAATGTCAAAGAATACTGACTTCATGACCAGAGGTTTTACCCTTCCTGCAAATTCTAGGCACCGAGCTTGAATGCCTCCTTCTTGCATTCTGCTCATTTATGTCACAAAACTGGCGTTTCAAGGATTGGCTTCTCGGTGGAAGTTCGGCAAAGCATAGGACCTAGCTCATTACCCCAATTTCTTTATATGATAGATTTGAATTTTTGTACTGATACTTTCAACGATATTCGAACGAACAAAACATTGCTTCCTATTGTACAGCAAGGGTTTAACAAATAACATGCTACAATAACTAGAAACTTAAACCTCGGGGACCTACCCCAAACCCACCATCGTAGCAGTCTATTCAATAAGACCTCTTGCGCGAAGCTCGGCTTCAATGAGCTTCTTGCGGCCCAATTCTTCATCCCTGTCAGAACGCTTCTGTCTCTTGGCGAAGACTTTGATATTGGGCATGTTTGAGTACCGCTGATTATTGGCGAGGTAATCAGCCAGCTTCTTCGGCTTCGGCTTCACGACTTGCTGAACGTGGTCAACGGCCTGCTGAACAGTGGCGATCGAATGAACAACAGGGTCGGGGAAGAAGTGGCCAGTCAATTGGGAGAATCTCTTCAAGAACTAAATTGTGAAATGAGTCAGCAACTGCGACAGATTGACTGCCCTATGCAGGGCGAAGGGGGAACGGAGACTGACAGCAAACTTCGTGGCCGGATCAATCAGCGACAGAGACAAGAAACCATTGTCACGAATAGTTTGATAACCAAAGAAAGGTTGCTTGGTCTCGTCAGTGCCGAGGATGTCTGTCAAGTCGTTTGTCGCTTCTTCTGTCTCTTCAACATCCTGCGACGCTTCCTCCGTTTCAGGAGTGACCTTTTGGCCACCGATTTGCTCAAAAACATAGACAAGAGCCTCCTCGGCCTCTTTGTTGGGATATTCCAGTGCCGCATTCCATTGTCCATCCGAGGTCGGTACAACCTTGGTCTTCCAAATGAACTTGAAAACCGACTGATCGTGCTCCTCGACATCACAGATGCTCGTCAAGGGCTTACCCAGCTGGTGCATGAGGCAGAGCTCGACGACAGCCTGGTGAGCCGCAATTGAGAGTAAGCCCTTCTTAGTGATCTTCTTCTTGTACTGGAACCTGTGTTAAGAAAGACTCATTAGACAACTGCACAGAGCCCACTGAAGAACTATACAGAAGGGTTTCGCTTCCCAGATGAATACAAGCGGGATGACTGGACAGCCAGAGGACCACTTACGACTTGTATGCGTCAGTCGGCGCAGGAGGAAGGTCAGACCACCGACCAAGGTGGCCGACGCGATCGAGACCCTCCCATGTTGTCGCCGGCTCATAGTCGTCTGCAGCGGGAGCAGCGTCCTCGGAGGCAGCGGTGTCAAGCGCCTGCAAAGCTTCAGGTGTCTCTTCTTCTACTACCGTCGGAGCTTGCTTGCTTTTGAATTTCCGCTCAAGAGCACCCTCTCCGCCATAGGGGTCTTTAAGACCGGGGGGGTTGTCGGTGCCCCAGATCTTGCGGCGCACCTTCTCGGTCAGCGAGTTCGCGTTGGAGGCGTTGCGCAAGAATTGGCGGGCGACAATCGGACGGGGACGCGCTTCATGTCTGCAGACTGAGCAGACATAGAGAGATCGGGCCCCCTGGATAGAGGGCACTTCCAAGTTTAACAGACGCACAGAGGGACGCATGACTGCAGCGTTGCGGGATTGCTGTCGGGGACTCTTCGGCCAGTCTTGGGAAAAGTTTCAAGAACTCCAAACGGCTTGTCACGTGATACAAATCGCCGGGCTTGGCGTCGGGAAGAATACTCATGCTGAACCACGTAAATTGCCGTACAGTACACACCAGAAACTCTACGGTCGTTGAATGTCAAGATTTTTGTCAAGATTTTGAAGAACAAGCAAGGAAAAAGGATATGGGAAAGTAAAACTTCATGAGTTGTGGGTGTATATACATGCGTCTACGCTGAAATCATGAAAATGTAAAAGAGAAAAACACAAAACTGTACAGAATGATGCAACCCTCACTTTCCGCACTTTCACTCCCGGACAAACATGCCAGCCATACCCATACCAGTTCCAATGCACATACTAACAACACCGACATCCTGGCCGGTGCGCTCAAGCTCAGGAATAAGAGTCGCCAATTGTCTGGCACCAGTGGCACCCAGAGGGTGACCAATGGCAATAGCACCACCCTTGGGATTGACCTTGGACTCGTCAATTCCGAGCTTGCGAATAGAGTACAGAGCCTGGGAGGCGAAGGCCTCGTTGATCTCCCAGATGTTAACGTCGGAAACATTCATGTCCAGCATTTGCAGAAGCTTGGGAATGGCAACGGCAGGGCCAACACCCATCTCGTCGGGAGCGCAGCCAGCAACAGCAGAGGCAACCCAGCGAGCCCTGATGGAAGAGGTCAAGCCGAGCTCAGTAGCCGTAGAGCGGCGCATCAGCAGGGCTGCAGCAGCACCGTCGCTGACCTGAGAACTGTTTCCAGCAGTGCTGGCACCATTGGCAGAAAAGGCGGGTTTCAAGCTAGCCATTTTTTCGACTGAAAGGTTGTGGCGGATTCCATCGTCCTTCGAGACGGTGATCTCGGTGGGAGCAGCGTCGGGGTGCTCGGGGTCGTAGGACACGGTCTTCACAGAAACGATCTCGGAGTCAAAAAGGCCGGCGTTTTGGGCCGCAGCTGCCTTCTTGTGCGACTCGGCGGCAAAAGCATCCTGGTCTGCTCTGGAGACTCCGTAGCGAGCGGCGACATTCTCCGAAGTAATACCCATCGGCATGATGCAATCCCGAGCATCCTTCGAGTATGAATCCTTGAGTTCAGGCCAGAGGACAGTGGGAATAGCGCGGGAACCGTAGTTGCGGGTCATGGACTCCATTCCACCACCGACACCAACGTTAATTGCGCCGGCACGGATTCCATTGGCAATAGTGGAGATAGCAGCCAGGCCGGACGAGCATTGTCTGTTGATAGTATGGAAAGAGACGGTGTCAGGGAAACCGGCATGGATCTGAGCCATACGGCCAGCTTTGGCACCGCCGAGCTCCTGGAGAACAGAACCGATGGCGACGTCGTCAATTAGGGCCGGGTCAAGGTTCGGGTTCGCCTCAAGAGTGGCACGAAGCACGTTGGCAAGGAGCTCTTCGGGATAAGCATCCTTGAAGCCACCTTTCTTCGCTCGGGTTACAGGCGTACGGAGAGAAGAGAGAATGACAATGTCATTGGGAGACTTCTGGAGGACCTGACGCAGGCCCCGGGGAATCGGAGAGGCCATCGTGAAGTAGATCTAGGGGTTCCTTTGCAAAAAGAATGAGGACCAGAGGATCAGAAGCTTGGAGGATTTCACGTTAGAGCAGAAGTCGCAGCTCGTGTATCAGTTCCGACAGGAAAAAAGAGAAAACTGGGGAGCGCTAGCATACTTATTGACGAAGGGCCGCCATGGTAGGAAATTCTGGGGCTCGGGATCCATCGCTGGTGAACGAGCCGTTCTGGAGGAGCCACCGTATTGCCGGCAGTGAAGATCGGCTAAGCGGACAGCCGCGGGGAAAGGCGGAGGGGGGGAATCTGAGGATCTGATTACGGCTATGCCTTGCCGAAGTGTTGTGCGTGCTCGAGTGCATATATTCCAGGGATGGGAACCCCCACCCTCTCCTTCCGTATTGTTTATTCTCTCGGTGGTCGATCTTGAGTGATCTAATGCTGTTTTCGCCTGCCCAAGCAGGTACTTCCCATAGATATACCTTACCTTATCTGTTATCGACTAGGTACATACGGTTTGCTTTCCGATGGCAAATAACCAGTTTGAATCCGTTCCGTCTTGTTCGGATCCGAATGCTTATGTCAGCTTCATCGGAACACCAAGTCGGAAACGACCGGACAGTGCTTGGTAGCCATAGCTCCATTTCCGGTGGTCTAGAAGTATGCATTCCGAAATAGGTAAGCAAATCAAAGTATAGTAAGGGAGGTAAATAGATCTACGATTCGACTCTGCAGGCGGAGATCTACATTCTGTGAGAGTGACCAAGATCCACAACTCTTTACTGGAATTTTATATAACAGCAGCCTGTTGTGCTCCGTATCGACCACTACATTGACGTGTAAAATAAGAAACGTAAAACAAGGAACATCGAGAAACACCGTGAGCCTAGGGTATTATAAAAATATCAACAGCGTATAATGTGACTGTAGTGACCAGGGACCTTGCGTCGGCATTTCTCACAATCAGACCGGTAGCCCATCGAGAATGTCAACTTCTTTGGGCTGGTTTCACTCTCTGTAATAGTACTCGGCAAAGGGTTTGAATCACGCATGCTCTTATACATGCCACTCATTTGTCCAGAAGAAGGGGACGCCGGGCGGGACATAGTGTAGGTCATATCCGCATCGCTAACCGAATCTTTGCTACTGATGGCCATGGCATCGCCGTCACTAACGGGGCTGGGAAGATGTTGATCACGCCACCAAGCTGTATTGCGGTCGTTGTACAAGTCATCCAAAGCATCGTGACGTGTACGATATGCACCGTTTCGATGTTCCATGTTCTCAGTGGAATCGACCGCAGAGGGGCAGGTTTCATGGGCAAGGCGTGTAGTCTGTTGCTCGCTTATTTTGAGCGAGCGGTAGATGACTCTGGGTGGTATCGGGGATTGTTGTGAGCGGTCATTGTTGCCGTTGTCAACGTCCATTTCCGTGCCATACCGAGCGGCTGAAAGCACTGATTGGGCCTGCCGATACTCTGCTTCCATTAAGCAGCTGCGAGGGTTGTCGCCACGATGCCCATGATCATTATCGTCCTCCGAGGACTCCGCTGGGGTCAGACTCGACACGCCGACTTGTGGGGCATTCTGGTCACTTTTCAAGAACGGGAAACTGCTATTTGTTTGGGGAGAGGCACGTAGAGGTAAAGAGCGATGTTTCTGTTTGACTGTTGTGAGCACTACATCACGGTTTCCTGCGGACTTCAGCTACAGGCGTACCTTTTTTTCATGACTTGTGATTCCATCGGGCTCATGGTCCTCCTTCTCTCGCGGCCGCTTGGGAGTATAAGTGATCATGTCTAAATCGGCAGCAGTACTGCAAGACAGCGAGTGAGGAAGCGAGCGAACTGGAGGCGAGTTCACCCATTAAAGTATGGCAATGACAATGTGAACAGTGACTGGGACCCCCTATTTTTATCGACAGATGGGAATTCGGTACATTGGAAAATGGATTCCAAGTGCCCGAGCAGTTGCAGGAGCTATATTGAGGCGAGTTCAAACACCATTTGTTTGACTGCTCATGTATTCACCGGTCTATAGAAGATGGTGTTGGCCAAGGATGCATCAAAACCCGGGGTAGGAACATGAAACATTGAACTTAAGCTCAGTTCAAGTTGCCAGAGCAAAGGGAAAGTCCAGAACTAGAGCGATGGAAGCCTCAGGCCACAGATCGGACAACCTTCCAATGAGATTTCGCAGGTTATTTGCTTTGCTTACTACTACAGGTAGCTAGTAGGCACTTTAGAATTCCTCCGACAGAAAAAAATACCTAATACACCACGATACACCCGCATTCGAGCACCATTACACAGCGAATACCAGTTGAACATTTAAGCCGTTACCAAACCAACCTAAGGAACATCATCGTGAGTGAGACGCCCAGTCTGAAGTGTTTAACTAAGGTGGTGATGATTTCTTCCTTCAATGGTCATAGCATGCCACTGCAATGACCGCGCACATAAAGGCTTACCTATGATAATGCCTGCTCTGATCTCTGTACGAGTATCAAGATACAGGATGGGTATCTCAGAGTATCAATGATCGATGATGTCACTCTTGTCCAGTCATGGTTGCTCGAATCATTCCTGCGAATGGAATTTCCTCGACAGTTGAGCTCCCATCCTTCTTTAAACCCAATAGATCGATCTTACTTCGCAAGCCTAGCTTAGCAATCAATGGTATCTCCAGGTAGCGGGTTCGCCCTCGTGGCTCCTGCCTCGAAAGGACTGGGATTCGCCTTTGCCCAACAGCTGCTGTCTCACACGAACCTACCCGTCATCGCAACTGCGAGAAGGGAATGTGATGAAGTCCAAGATAGCCTGTTAAAAGCAGCCAAGAGCCGATCTGATGACCCAAGAGAGCGACTGAGGGTTTTGCAAATGGACGTGACTGGTACGAAGCTCTTCACTTGGCCAAACCTCAATCTTTGCTTGTCCTCCTGCTGAACACTCTATCAGATGAATCAACCATTCAAGCAATGGCCTCACATATTCGACGAGAGTATCCAGACGCTGCTCTCCGTATAGCTATCACCGTTCCTGGAATCCTACACGTCGAAAAATCACCATCGCAAATTGATGCTGCCAGCGCTCTAAATAGCTACAAGGTCAACGCTCTCGGCCCCATGCTGCTGATGAAGCACCTGGCACCCTTTTTGCCTACCAAGTCTTCGAAGCCCTTTCTGGTAGACCCAAAGCCTCGAGAGGACGATTGCTCTTGGAAACTCCCATCACATGCCATATACGCCATGATGGCTGCGCGAGTAGGCTCAATTTCGGACAACGCAACTGGAGGCTGGTACTCGTATCGTGCCAGTAAGGCATCTGTTTTCCAAATAGCGAAAACCTTTGACTTATATCTACGCACTCGGAGCAATGACCGGGCATTAGCGGTAGCGATGCACCCCGGTACCGTCCAGACGGACTTCACGAAGGAATACTGGGATGGACGAAACATGTTACAGCCTCTCGACTCTGCTAATAGGCTGCTTCAATTCTTGTGTACAATGAGGCCCGGCAACAATGACGGGCGAGGTCGATGTTGGGATTGGAAAGGAGAGGAGGTTCTCCCATGAATGAGGACGAGGGACGAGATTCAATAAGGCATTCAAAGGCAAACGAGCCCCCACCAGCACATTGATATAACGAACACTTCTGGAGGGAAAAGTCAATCTGCAACTCTGGAACCTAACTTAGATTTCGAAATATCGATCTTCCTATGGATTATCAGACTATCGCTCACCGAAAGGTATCCACTGGGTCAGAGATAACCATGCGGGATTGGCCGCTTTTTCCTGCATGCGGGAGAAGCGTTCTTCCCTTCCTCTCCGGCAAAACGCTTACACGCTAGCAATTCCCCCAAAATCCCCCAAAACACTACTCCGGCCCCAGTAAATGCGCGCACCACACCTTTGGTTCTCCCCTTCTCTTCTCCTGGACACACCTCTCAATCATTTCTCAACAGCAAAAAAAGAGTTCTCCCCTCCTCTTGACCCACTAATTAAATTCTACTCGCTAGCATCATCAGTACTCTGATTCATTCGTCGACCACCAATCTCCAGCCCACTTTGGAGGAAGCTTATTGCCTTACCCCTGGTTGTCAGTTGCATGGGGACTGTGGAGGATATGCAGCCACTAAACTATCTCCAGGTCCACACGGAACCTGCCGTCGTGGGCCGCTTGGTAGATTTCGAGTATGGGTAATTTCAAAGCACCTGTATTTGTGTGCCTGTGACCGAGCAAGCTCCCAGCTCAGTCCGTGGCTTGCAGACCTGCCTTGTGGTATGGCCCTGACCAGGTGACCGTCAGCAGTGCTGAACGCTGACTCTCCGCTTATGTGACCCAAACAGTCTGACACATCCAACTTGATCTACTAGTGATAGTCTATACAAACTGGTTGCCTTAAAGATCGAGGAAGAGGCTGTTTGGTAGCTCCGGAAGAATCTATACGAATCTGCTTCGGCATATTTCATAGATTCACAATGGTTGGACAGATGGAGCATGGACTGCACCTTGCAGCTCAATACTGAAGCCCTGCGACACCTTCGAAATTGAGCCAGGTCGCTTGCATCGAAGGGGAGCATGGCCACTTCCGGTAAACAAAGTCTTAGGATGCGTACTGGTGGAGTGATTTATATTGTCATAAGGCAACCTTGATAGCTTCCAGTTCAGGCAATCAACACTACACCGACAGTTGGCTGATCGAAGTCATTTGGGGTGAGGTCGGTCCATCATGATTTAGATTGAGATATCGACTCTCTATGCAACGGTATATCAGGATGAGTTCTTCTGCCTGGTGCAGGATTATGGTATCTCGAAGGCCAGCTGGCTGGTTCCCTGCTGGGATGAGTGTCTGCGGCACGTGTGTGGCCTTGATCCATTATCATTGGCAGCACCCCCAGTTCTGTGAGCCGGGACACCGAGACCACGCTTCCTGCTGTACTACGTCTGCAGGAGGGACTGACAACGAGGCGGTCGATCTGTCAGTGCCTCAAGTTCGGCACGTTTCAGTCTAGCGGTGAGAAAACACCATGCGCATCAGCGACCAGCTATGGAACGCAGCACCAAACTGCTGCCGGGGAGGGCTGAGTCGCGATTGCCTCGGATCTGTGCGAGATCGACCTCTCTGGTGTCACCACTGGCAAGGTGAGGTTCAGCTATGCGCATACCTACTGAGCTGACCGCAACACGGAGGACGTCACCATCTCGCCCCGGTTGTAGTGCATTTGGCTGCAGGTCGGAGCGTATCCTAGCCCAACAACTTAAGGTCTGTCCGGAATAGGTGTGATATCTGCGCGGAGCCTCTACGGAGTCCGGACTGTGGACTGTGAACTGTGGACTGGACTCTGGACTCTGGACTCTCAATATGTACATACATTACTGTATGATGATGGTGGTGATACATCAGTCGAGGGAAGAGTGGAGGGAAGAGTGTGGTATTGTTTCACGGACATTACAGTCAATACGGTTTGATACCTCTCCTGCCATACAACCTTAATCGAGGCTCCTAATTTTTCATTTGTGTGAATCAGTCCGATCGCGGGGCCCACTCGGTGCAATCCCCGTCTTGTTCCTCCATCCATCCATCCATCCATCTTCTTCTTTCTAAACTTGAACTCCGCTTGCCAATCTGCAATTTGATTCTGTTATTTCTTCCCTCTTTCTCACCCTCCCCCCATCTCCTCAATCACTTAACTCCTCATCTTCTCGCTACCTTGGCCGGCTTCTAGCCTCTTTTTCAATTTCCAATCAATTCAACAGAACAGGAGAGCTTAAAAGTCTACTCCTACTTGTTCATTCATTGTTCATTACCCCTCCTCCACCAAGAGCTACACCCATATTTTTTCCCAGCACATTCTGCGTATCTCCCTACACCACAATGCCTTTGATCAGCACCACCGAAGTCAGCGAGGACACTCGTGGTGAGTTTACAATGGCATCATAAGCGCGGCCGAGATCGTTCTCTGCTAACCATTGCGCCCTCGTAGTCTTGGGATATGATCCCCTTCTCTCCCCCCAGTTTCTGCAGACCGAGATCCCTGCTGTGAGTCATACCACTTCCGCACCACTTCCGCACCACCTCCGCACCACTTTCTCGGCCATTGTGAGCCACCGTGGGGCCACATCATGAAACCAGACTACCTTTCGCTCTCCGTCAACCTGCTAAACCTCTTGAATGATATGAAACTGACTATTGTCCTAGCCCGCGCGCGCATTAGAGGCCGTCCGTGCCGGCCGCAACCAGGCAATTGAGATCATCGAGCAGCGCGATGACCGCCTGCTCGTGGTTGTTGGCCCCTGCTCCATTCATGACCCTGAGACGGCTTTGGAGTATGCCCGTCGCCTCAAGGAGCTGTCTGAGAAGCTCTCCGGCGACCTCTGTGTCATCATGCGTGCTTACCTGGAAAAGCCTCGCACCACTGTCGGTTGGAAAGGGTTGATCAACGATCCGGATATTGACGAGACCTACAACATCAACAAGGGTCTTCGTGTCTCCCGCCGTCTTTACGCAGACCTGACTAGCATGGGCTTGCCTATTGCCAGCGAGATGCTGGACACCATCTCCCCCCAATACCTTGCGGATCTCATCTCTCTCGGTGCCATCGGCGCCCGTACCACCGAGTCCCAGCTGCACCGTGAGCTCGCCTCTGGTCTCAGTTTCCCCATTGGCTACAAGAACGGCACCGACGGCAACCTGACCGTGGCCATTGACGCCATTGGCGCTGCCGCCCACCCCCACCGCTTCTTGGGTGTCACCAAGCAGGGTCTGGCTGCCATCACAAAGACTTCTGGTAACGAACACGGTTTCGTTATCCTTCGTGGAGGCAACAAGGGTACCAACTACGACCGCGAAAGCATTAAGGCTGCCCGTGAGGCCCTCCATGGCAAGAAGCAGCGCGAGGTTGTCATGGTTGACTGCTCTCACGGTAACTCCAACAAGAACCACCGCAACCAGCCCTTGGTCGCAAAGGAAGTTGGTGACCAGCTCCGCGAGGGCCAGGATGCTATCATCGGTGTTATGATCGAGTCCAATATTAACGAGGGTAACCAGAAGGTCCCTCCCGAGGGTCCCTCCGGCTTGCGCAAGGGTGTCAGTATCACGGACGCTTGCATCGACTGGGAGACCACGGTCACTGTTTTGGAAGACTTGGCAGATGCAGTTCGTGCCAGACGTGCCGCCAAGGCTAAGGTTGCTGCTGAATAAGCTATCACGACTGTTTCGACAGTCCAGGCGTGACGGTTTCCCTTCTGTTTACTCGGGATGGTCTGATTTATATACCATAGCCAGGGCGCTCTGATTTTCCCTGCCTTTAATCCGGTGACGATAATGATTCTCTTCGTTTTATTTTATTTCCACTTATTTGTCCACATATTGGGTGTTGTGTGCTCGCGTCAGTGGCCCTTGGTAGCTTGGTTTCAGGGTCTTGATTCATGGTAGTATCAAAAGTTTGGCATGATTATCTTACGTCCTCTGCGATTGGTTCGGGTTTACATCCAATTATCCAAAGTTTCGCACGCAATTTGAAACGTACAGTTGAATCATTGAAATCTCTATAGTTCACACAGCAGCTCGGCGGATGCTAGTGTCGAATTAGCTTAGCATCTGCAAATAAGTAGCTAATGTAGTAAGATCATCAAGGGAAAAAAAAACGAAAATAATAGGAATATATGTATATGTACATCGATATGGCAAAACCACACTTGAGACTTGCGCAGGTCTCGCAAATAGAACAACAGCACATAGATTGGTACATCTCGGCGAAGCGCACACACACGTTCACACACCCAGAAGAGAAAAAGCAGGATACGCCACAACCCCAAATGTGGTAGAAGAGAGGAAGGAAGAGACGACAAAATGCCATGCGAAACATGAAACAGAGGTCTTCCGGGGGGAGATGCTGCGAGCAGACAGTGTGAGAAAGCTTTGCTCTCTCCCCGCGCGCCATGTGAGTTTCCCTGTATTTTCCTTGATTTCCATACGTCGTCCTTTCACCGTCCAGTGAGCCAGCTCTTCCAGCTTCGCGTCGTCTGCTTAGCAGCATCCTCGGCATTGGCCGCCAGGGTGTCCAGCTGGCCCTGCTGTGCGGGAGCGACAATCTCACCGGACGCCTTCGCGGCATTGATGGCTTCGAGGACGCGAGGCTTGTCCTCCGCGACAAGGCTCTCGGGCATGGGGTTGGGGTTCGCCTCGGCGGGGGTCTCGTCCGCCTTCAAGCCCCCAAATAAGTACTGCTTCGCCTTGTTCCAAGGGCGCTGCTGCCGCTCCTCGTCTTTCTTTCGTTGGTAGATCTCGGCAATCTTCTCGTTCTTCAGCAATTCCAGCTGTTCCGGCGTGGCGGTTCCGTTGACGTAGGCCACCTTGGCGTCCTGTAGGGTCTGTAGCTCCTTCTCGATCCACAGTGTTCGCTGACGGCGGTTGTATAAAGAGAGAGACACAATGGAATACATGGTGAGGGCTCCGCAAACGCCTGTTTCGCTCTACGGTCAGTCGCTGGGTGAGGTTCATAGATATTTGTCGCCTATCACGAAGTAGAAGGGGCCAGGGAGAGAGGGAGCGCAGAGGGAACAGCTCCCC